TCACAGAGTTTAAAAAGATCAAACCCCTTACGACTCAGCAACTCCTGGATACTCTCAGAAGTTTTAACAATCTGTTTGCTATTGTCTACTGTCAGCGTACGGGAGCAGAAAATATATTCGACGAGCTACGAACTCTTGACACGATTATCATCGACGTTACAAAACATCTTATCAGTAAATCAGAGAGTCTAGACGAAAACATCACAGGACTTTATCGCGAGCTTCACCAGTCATCTGATCTAGAACTACGATCTCTCTCGGTAGTCTTGCACTACTATCCGAACCTTCACGCGATCTTCAAAACCCGCTCCACGAAAAGCAAACCATCGAAGAATCGACGAAGAGCCAAGAAGAGGCAACGCTCAGCAACTCCACAATAAAACGGTTAGTAAAACTCGTACTGGTTGTACTCTTTGAGTCCTTTGACTCGGAGTCCCTTTCTAGTTTTACTACATTAGTATATAACTGAGTGTACTCTTTGAGTCTTTTGACTCGGAGTCCTCACCAAACAAATATGACACGAAATCGTGAAATGACCACTGATTCCGTATGCGAAACTTGCCAACAAAAAATCAAAAAGAATGAAGATACATTCTGTTGCATCGTGTGTAATTGCAAAATGCACCTGACGAAAAGCTGTACCAGCCTAAGCGATCTAGCAATCAATGGTATTACGACACTGGGAAAAAACATTGCTCTACTCTGCAACAAATGTGTGGATTCCAACGGATATGAGAGAATCCGAAAAGCAGTCAGTGACGCTGAACAAACCTCGCCGAAGCAATTCAAGAAGATTGAAGAGGACATGGACGAACTCAGAAAGAACGTACAGGAGATTAAAACGCTGTTCTCCCAAACCACAATGAAGCCAAATGAGATCAAATCAGAAGCAAAAACCAAGGTACCGATAAACGCAACGCCGAAACAAGAAAATCAAAACGGAATCCGCATCCGCGGCATCCCTGAACTAAACGACAAAGATCAAAGAAAAAGACAAGAAAATGACATCCTACAAGTAAAGGAAATCTTGGAGCACATGCAAATTGTGCCAGAGATAGTTGATCTGTTCCGGATGGGTCAACGACAGGAAGGCAAGGACCGAATCATACTGGTAAAAGTCCCAATTTGGCAGAAACGACTAATACTATCATCCGCTTGCCGCCTAAAAACATATGACAAACCTGTGTTTGTCAGCCCCGAGCTATCAGTGGATGAAGCAAAACTTGAAAATCAAGCACTGCAAAAACGGCGGGAGCTCATAAACGAAAACATCGATAAACAAAACCTGCGCATCCGCGATGGAAAACTCTACCAGAAAATAGAAAACAGATGGACAGCAGTTGCAACCGAAAAAACGGAGAACTCAATCTCCAATTGACTAGAACTCTTTCCTAGCCTACCCCTCTACAACGTCCGAAGCATACTCGACTACAATCGAAGATCAAACTTCGCAAATGCGATAAACACAAGCTGTCAATACCAACTACTTTGCCTAACTCTATATTCTTGCCTCAATTTGAACTCTATCGATCTGAAAGAACTTCAAAAACCGGTCTATCAAAACACGGAGGAGTTCTAATTGGCATCAACGCCAACATACCACATAACCGCATTGATACAGGCATGCAAGACTGTGTAATGGTTCAACTCAAGATATCTGTACCAATACTTGTCTGCTGTATATATTGTGCCCCTGTGTATAGCCCATACCGATGGTCACTAGATCAACTTAACTCATTGCTGAACTTAATAAAAGCAGCACAACGCGAGCAAGGCATACAAAATCTTGTCAATGTTGGAGATATCAACTTCTCGTGTACAAATTGGAAATCACTCTCATCAAAATGCGAGTACGAACAAAGCATCCTAGACAACTTCCAGGAATTAAACCTGGAACAATTCATCATAACCGATACTGGAAAGAGCCTGGATATCCTGCTCTGCAACAATCCTGATATCATACTAGACGTATACATGGACTTGTATATCTGAATTGTCCTTATCGCTCTCAGCTGACCAATGCAATCATGAAACAGAAATTTTCAAGTCTGGAATCTTCTCAAACGTCCAAAAATACCAAAACTATCATGAAAACAAGCTCAATCCCAAATGAAATATTTCTTGACGATAAGTCAGCTAATACCGATATCGAAAAAGCCGAATTATTTAATCAGTACTTCCAATCCGTTTTCAGTAAGAATCACCACGATTATACTCTCACAGAGGGACAGCACAAGCTGTCGATGATTCATTTCTCAGAACTAGAAATACAACTCGTTCTCCAATCGCTGGACGAGAGCAAGGCCAAAGGACTTGACCGTATGGGGAAAAACCTGCTGAAAAAATTATCAGACTCCCTACCAAATTCACTGCATCTCATATTCAACACAATTGCAAACAAATGCTACTTCCCATCATTCTGGAAAACAAGCGAAAAAATCCCCATATTTAAAGAAGGGAACAAACAAATGGTAGATAATTACAGGCCGATCAGCCTCCTCGTAGCAGTATCCAAAGTTCTCGAGAAACTTATTTTCGACAGAATGTACCCAATCTTATCCACCGCATTGTCCCAATCTCAACACGGTTTTCGGCAAAGACGCTCATCTATAACAAACCTAATCGAATACCTGTTTGTGAACTTTGACAATAGCAACTGCCACTTCCTAGCGTCATTTTACCTCGACTTCCAGAAGGCTTTTGACAAAGTCAATCATAATATAACGATCGAAAAACTCAGCAGAGCTGGAATAACAGGCCCAATATTGGATCTAATCAAAAGTTACCTGACCGGTCGAACCCAAACAGTACGCATCGGCAGCTCGGTCTCAAGCCAACTGCCAATTTATAGTGGAGTGCCGCAAGGATCTATTCTAGGGCCACTCCTTTTCTTAGTATACATCAACGACTTGCCAAAATGTGTCATGTCATCGTGCTACGGCTATGCGGATGACTATAAAATTATGGGCACCGACCCGACTACCTTGCACATCGATATTAGAAAAGTCTGGAAGTGGTGTGAAACCAATGAAATGCGCCTCAATATGACCAAGAGCAAAACATTAGTAATTAAGGGCGAGTGCAACCTAAGCATATTCTCGTAAAAATTCGAACAGCCTAACGAACTTAAAGATCTTGGAATGATAATGTCAAAAAATCTTAACTGGACTTCTCATGCAAACAATCGTGCGAGCAAAGCACTGAAGGCCCTATACTGCATCAAAAGAAACTTATCACCTGCCACAACCATGAACAACAGGAAAAATGCATATAAAAGCTATGTAGTACCTATCGTTAGCTATGCATCATCAGTCTGGAAACCCTCAAAGCAAGATCGTGCCACCTTAGAAAAAGTGCAACAGAGAGCAACGAAATGGATACTTGGAAATAAACAAATTCCTTATAAATCGAGGTTAACCACTCTTCAAATTCTTCCCTTGTCTCTTTACCAAGAAATGCATGTACTACTTTTGTTCGCGAACATTCTAAGAGGAAAGACCGACCTGGAATGGTGGCGATTTATAGAACTCACTGAATCAAATCGACCGAAAACAACAAGACGTTTAGACGCGAAGAACTTTCGACTTCATAAATGCGAATCTGATTTCTGGCAACGCGCCTGCAGCCTGACAAACATATTTCACGATCATCTGAAATATGAAGTCCTATTAAGTGACTCGTTTAAACCAAAAATATCAAGAGTGTACTGGCAATTCTACGAGAAAATCTACAATGAAGTCGATACCTGCACCTGGAGAATCAACTGCGGATGCACAAGATGCTTAAACTTCAAAAAACTAAAATCATTAAGCTAAAATATGATTGATCTCATAAACTTGATTCGGGAGCTAACTCCCATGGATGTATCCTAAATTCTGTTTTATTATTATTATTATTATTCAAGAAAAATACTCAAATAGACTAGACAATTTAACAGAGAAAAAACTAATGTTAATTATGTTCTAGTCGTTTTAGACCAATTTTTAACATTTCAAGGGAAAACCAAATTGATTTTGAGAAAAATGGTGCGCGGAATTAAACACTTCAATCAACCAAAACACCATACCCAATTAAAACAAGAAACCTGCTTATAAATGCGCTTGTCATAAGTCATCTACACTATCCAGCCATTCTTTTCAGCGGAAATTCAGCAAATCTAACATCACTAGAAAAGTAAGTAAGCTGGGCTATAAATACTTGTTGCAATCGCCCAAAAAATACTCATCCTCCGACTTGAAATTAAAATATGATATTGTTTCAATGTTTCTTGACTGGAAATTGATCTGCCATTTCTGGAAACCAAAAACAAACGACAACCAGATTATGAAAAAATCAACTACGACAATTGTTAAATCAAAGAAAATGCAAACAAAAAACTTCTTTAGTTGAAAAAAGGGATCAATTAAATTGGGCCCTTCCGTCATGCGACGGTACGTGCACTGGTTGGATAAATAAGATATATAAATGAAAAATTATTATTCAAAATATCAGCAACAATATGGAACAACATTCATCAAAATATATCCTCAGATGACGTACTGACTTATAGAAAAATTAAAGTAAGACTAAAGAATTACTATATATCTCTATTGATGGAAGATAACACGGTGACAACCTATGGTAAACTGTAATGGAAAGACTTCAAACTTATTTGAGTTTTTCCTGATTGCCTTGTTAGTTTTTTTTAGCAGTGCCATGTATAATTATGTGTAAAGTGAAAATATGTAGAAAAAAAAGTTAATGCTGAGTGAATTTGCTTTTTAAAAATTATTTCAACTTTCTAAAAAGTATTTTTGAAAGTGTTCTAAGTCCAGGTTAGTAGTAAATTTACAATTTACAGGAGTTAGTCAAAAACACTTGCAACTACAACGAAAACTGCTTAAAGTACAAGGCAATTAATTGCAGCACGTTTTGCGCCAAGATCATGGAATTTAATAAAAATCTAGCAATCAAGTTGTATTAAAAAAAATGTTAACGCTACAAAATTGTCATCAACTAACCCATTAATAAACTAAAAGCCAAAGCAGCTAAGATCCCTTGTAGCAATAGACCCAAAAAATTGAAGAAATCTCCAGGCTGGCAACCTGATATAGTTCCATCGCTGTCATCATTTGGTTCCGGTGAATCAGTACTATTTATATTATTTATCAACCTCTACCTGGAAAATTCAAAAGAAAATGAACAGTATGTAGGAAATAGTCAAGCCGCAGCACAAGGGCGACTTAGGAATTTTGCGAAGTAAGCTGGATTATCAACATTGTGACCAGCTTCGCCCCCACAATTCAATACGGGTCCATCAGATGATATACAAGACTGCGCCAAGCATAGTATTATACTACCTTGTTATTACGTTCGCTTGGTTCAACAAATTTAAAAAAATTCCCTTGGCTCAACAAATTTTTTGTTTTTTTTTTCTTCCAAATTAATCAGAAGGTCAAAAGTATCATAGTAACCGAGGTTACAGTCATGAGTCCCTACATCATGTATTCCAGTCAAAATCCTTGGAATTTTTTAGATATGGAAGTGATAATGATAAAAGAAGATGACAAGTGTTTAAGTGCTTTTCTATTAAAATCGATACGGGTTACGTTTCTTCAATAAGAACACGCAACTCGACAGGAGATAATATAATATACAAGTGTTACAAGTAAAAAATTTCGTCGAAAGTTATTTTGTCATTTATTGTTCCGAGTACGCAAGCGGCATTCGCAATCTGTATTGCCAGGGAGATTCTCTATTTTAAAAAGCTGCCTGCTCTGGGTTCCTCAGTGCATATGCTTAGGTTCTTACAAAGTTTGCTAAAAAAAAACTTCTGTGCTGGGCCCGGCTGCGCCCTGAATTTCAAAAGCTAGCGGTTGAAAAAGATATCCATCATTTACAAGATCTTTATACTTGTCAATTTTTCGCTCTTCCGCTTCAGCGGCAGCCGTACCAGTGTTACAAACAGACCCGGCATTAATCCTATAAGGAGCTAAGGAATCTACTACCGTTACATCCCACAAGAGCTGCTTACCATCAGCCCATGTTTGTTTCTGTTTTATTATTAATATTATTATTCAAGAAAAATACTCAAATAGACTAGACAATTTAACAGAGAAAAAACTGTTAATTATGTTCTAGTCGTTTTAGACCAATTTTTAACATTTCAAGGGAAAACCAAATTGATTTTGAGAAAAATGGTGTGCGGAATTAAACACTTCAATCAACCAAAACACCATACCCAATTAAAACAAGAAACCTGCTTATAAATGCGCTTGTCATAAGTCATCTACACTATCCAGCCATTCTTTTCAGCGGAAATTCAGCAAATCTAACATCACTAGAAAAGTAAGTAAGCTGGGCTATAAATACTTGTTGCAATCGCCCAAAAAATACTCATCCTCCGACTTGAAATTAAAATATGATATTGTTTCAATGTTTCTTGACTGGAAATTGATCTGCCATTTCTGGAAACCAAAAACAAACGACAACCAGATTATGAAAAAATCAACTACGAAAATTGTTAAATCAAAGAAAATGCAAACAAAAAACTTCTTTAGTTGAAAAAAGGGATCAATTAAATTGGGCCCTTCCGTCATGCGACGGTACGTGCACTGGTTGGATAAATAAGATATATAAATGAAAAATTATTATTCAAAATATCAGCAACAATATGGAACAACATTCATCAAAATATATCCTCAGATGACGTACTGACTTATAGAAAAATTAAAGTAAGACTAAAGAATTACTATATATCTCTATTGATGGAAGATAACACGGTGACAACCTATGGTAAACTGTAATGGAAAGACTTCAAACTTATTTGAGTTTTTCCTGATTGCCTTGTTAGTTTTTTTTAGCAGTGCCATGTATAATTATGTGTAAAGTGAAAATATGTAGAAAAAAAAGTTAATGCTGAGTGAATTACATTTGCTTTTTAAAAATTATTTCAACTTTCTAAAAAGTATTTTTGAAAGTGTTCTAAGTCCAGGTTAGTAGTAAATTTACAATTTACAGGAGTTAGTCAAAAACACTTGCAACTACAACGAAAACTGCTTAAAGTACAAGTCAATTAATTGCAGCACGTTTTGCGCCAAGATCATGGAATTTAATAAAAATCTAGCAATCAAGTTGTATTAAAAAAAATGTTAACGCTACAAAATTGTCATCAACTAACCCATTAATAAGCTAAAAGCCAAAGCAGCTAAGATCCCTTGTAGCAATAGACCCAAAAAATTGAAGAAATCTCCAGGCTGGCAACCTGATATAGTTCCATCGCTGTCATCATTTGGTTCCGGTGAATCAGTACTATTTATATTATTTATCATCCTCTACCTGGAAAATTCAAAAGAAAATGAACAGTATGTAGGAAATAGTCAAGCCGCAGCACAAGGGCGACTTAGGAATTTTGCGAAGTAAGCTGGATTATCAACATTGTGACCAGCTTCGCCCCCACAATTCAATACGGGTCCATCAGATGATATACAAGACTGCGCCAAGCATAGTATTATACTACCTCGTTATTACGTTCGCTTGGTTCAACAAATTTAAAAAAATTCCCTTGGCTCAACAAATTTTTTGTTTTTTTTCTTCCAAATTAATCAGAAGGTAAAAGGTATCATAGTAACCGAGGTTACAGTCATGAGTCCCTACATCATGTATTCCAGTCAAAATCCTTGGAATTTTTTAGATATGGAAGTGATAATGATAAAAGATGACAAGAGTTTAAGTGCTTTTCAATTAAAATCGATACGGGTTACGTTTCTTCAATAAGAACACGCAACTCGACAGGAGATAATATAATATAAAAGGGGGCAAACATTGAGACAAACACACAAATGGCTCGGGAGATCATAGAGAACATAGATCTAGACTATAATGAGAGTATTATCTCCCTGGATGTCAAAAGTTTGTACACTAATGTCCCACTAAAGGAGGCAATAGATATAGCACTGAGGAAACTGTACGAACAAACTAGTCCTCCTAAACTGGCACGCGGAACTATGAAGAAATTGTTGAACATGGCTGTAAGTAAGGTGCACTTCAAATGCAATGGTTTATGGTACGTACAAAAGGATGGGTTGGCAATGGGTGCATCCCTTGCTGTCATTCTTGCCAATTTATGGCTAAAGGAGTACGAATATGCATTAATGAAGGAAGTACCTGCGTTGACACAGCTAAATGAAAACCGGAATGGCCTATGCCCTGATTGCGAGCGGAGGGTAACATACAGAAGTAAGGGGATCGAATGCGAAGCTTGTTTAAATTGGTACCATTTAAAGTGTAGTAATGTATCCGACAAAGAATATGAGCAAATCTCAGAAATGGTTTGGTTTTGTAAGAGATGTAAAGAGCAGCGAGATCAAGAAAAACCAACAGAAAATGTCAAAGCGTTCCTAAGATATGTAGATGATATTGTGAGGACGGTAAAGGGGGATCCAGATATAGTGTTAAAAGCAGCTAATGAGCTCCACCCCAACTTACAATTCACTATCGAAAATCCGGATTCGAACGGAGACTTAGCCTTTCTAGATTTGAACATTAATGTGGACTCACGAAAAAAGGTAACATGTGGATGGTATCAAAAACCAACGGATACTGGGACTATCCTTAACTTCAGAAGCTGCGCTCCATTGCAATATAAACGCAATGTAGTTGAGGGTACTGTTCATCGGATTTTTAGAAGTACATCAACATGGGAAAACTTTGACAAGGCAATGAAGATTAATAAAGAACAATGGGTGGATAATCAATACCCTGAAAAATGGTCAGATGGTGTCGTATCAAGAACGTTGAATAAGATCATCGACCGAAAAACTGACACACGAACAACGGTAACATCAGTCAAGGAAGATCCTTTAAAGGTCAGTGCACCCATTATAACATTACAATACCGGGGTAATGCATCAGCGTGGTTTGCTGCCAAACTGCGTCAAAACGCCGGAGCCCAAGTGATATTTACTACGAGAAAGCTCAAGACTTGCCTACCGTCCCTTAAATCTCCCTTTGCGAAAGATTTGAAATCCAGAGTGGTCTGCAAGCTCACATGTAGTGGATGTAATTCCACCTATGTTGGACAAACGGTCCGGCATTTGACCACGCGGATTGAAGAGCATCACAAGGAAGATTCGCCAGTAGGGCAACATTTGAGAGAATGTGACAGGGATGGTAAGAGCGCTGAGCTTAATCTGAGATTATAGATCAATCAAGTAACATACAGAAACTCCTCACTCTGGAGGCCTTACATATTTGGAAAGAACGCCCCAGAATTAACACGCGCGAGGAGTTCAGGAGCAGGGAGCTGACATTAAAATTATAGTACATGTTGAAACATGACTAAAATTGCAATTTTTGAAAAAATAAACTGACATGTAGGTTTGGATAAAACATCAAATCGAAAAATTATGACTCAAGTAACAAAAAAAGTATGGAAATTGTCATAATCGATGAAATAATGATAACGTAATAACAGTTGTAAGAATGTGATTGGTTAAAAATTTCTAACATGTTCTTTTTGAATTTCATACATGATCTTTGATCATTTTATTGTAAATAAAAAATTTTATATCCTGACGATGCACAAAATGTGCGAAAACGTTTGAATTAACAATTTTAAAAAATTCTTATAATATACAAGTGTTACAAGTAAAAAATTTCGTCGAAAGTTATTTTGTTTTTTATTGTTCCGAGTACGCAAGCGGCATTCGCAATCTGTATTGCCAGGGAGATTCTCTGTTTTAAAAAGCTGCCTGCTCTGGGTTCCTCACTGCATATGCTTAGGTTCTTACAAAGTTTGCTAAAAAAAAAACTTCTGTGCTGGGCCCGTCTGCACCCTGAATTTCAAAAGCTAGCGGTTGAAAAAGATATCCATCATTTACAAGATCTTAATACTTGTCAATTTTTCGCTCTTCCGCTTCAGCGGCAGCCGTACCAGTGTTACAAACAGACCCGGCATTAATCCTATAAGGAGCTAAGGAGTCTACTACCGTTACATCCCACAAGAGCTGCTTACCATCAGCCCATGGAACGAGCGTCAAACCGTCTGGTTGCTTCTGATCGGTCCTGTAGAGGTGTCGTGGTTCTAAAACAGACGGGATGTGAGTAGATGATAGACTCTGCTTTATAAGGGCATTCAGGTTTGAATGCCTAGAGAATCTCCCTGCACTTTTGAG